ATATGATTAATTATTTACCGACCTTTCCTAAACGACTTAAAAAAATATTACTAAGTCTTGATTGTTTTATGACGGTGCTTTCTTTATTTAAAGATATGACATTGGGAACGTGGTTTGTTATATATATAATATAAATTATTATGTACAATATTCTGGACATTGGCGCGAAATGATAATCGAGGTAAGATGGAGGCGACCATTCCCATAGAGTAGTCTATGACGTATGGATATGACATTGAATAATGAGGAAAAAACGAAAGCACTAAAAGAACACCTCCACTAGATGGCAACTCTAGCCATAGTTGATTTTTGCAGGAAACGAATTGACCAAGGACAGTCATTTCCGTTCCTTTTAACTAACATATCAATACAAATAGAATATGAGTTGTTTATTGAGTTTTGAAAACTTATTTACTTTTAAACATGAAAGAAAACCGGATGGGTTGTCATGGAGAAATCAAGAACGTACCATAGCGACATCTAGTTTGATTTCGGGAACTAATGATTTTTTTAAATACTTCCTCATTGTGATTGCAGAGACTTGTTACAATGAGTCATACACCATTACATAGTTTTTCTGATACGTCTAAATTATACAATAACTTAGTTGTTCCATTTTCTTTTTAATTGTAAAAAGAAAATGTAGAGGTAGTAGACCAGATAGTAAAGTGATAAGTTAATTCCAATGAACAGTTTTCCAATAGGTATGTCGGTTTTTAAACTAAAACTCTATCTACCGTATTTTTTTTAACGCCAATCATATTTTTTTCACGTTTTATTAAAAAAAAGAAAAACAACAAGAGGAAAAATATAATCGGTCGTCGGGCTCGCATCGGTATATTACGGTTTCTGGTTCTGACGTTTTGAAGAATAAAAAAAGAAATTCGCAGGCCGCATTAGAACCTGTGCCTGCCAGGTATAAGACCGGTAGAAGTAGCGAAGTTAACCTCGGTTTTCTAATGATGTTGTAGCAATTTATCAAAAATAAGATTAAAACAACCTAAACCTAGACATGATAACTCTTACTAATAACTCGGGAAATTGACAAAGAAGGCTCCATCTGTTCATTTATCATTCAAAGTACAACTTAACACCTAGCCATCAACAAATTCTAATAACGCTACTGGTTTTAGCGCCATCTATACGTTATTTGTCAAACTATAACGTTAAACTGACTACTGTAACAATTTTAAATAACGCTATATGAACAAATACTTGGTATATTCTTTCATTTTAATTCAACGCACATTTTCTAAGTATAAAAAGGATAAGGAGGTTTGGTTTCATTAATGTGCTTTTGTGCTTATTAGTACTGACAGCTGTACTCTATAAATTAAATTATAAATTGTAGATGGCGCTGCACGTTAATGTTGTAGAGATTCAGTTTGATATGTGGCCCAATCTCGTTGACCGTAAAAGGAATGCAACTCTACTATATCCTTTATCATCCTAAGCATTGACACTTTTTTCAAATCTTGTTGCTGCAACAATGTTGCAAATGAATACAGCTGATATTCTTAGAAGAGAAAACGTGATTAGTATAATCCGGAGTGGATAGCTACTTATTTTTTATTTATAATGGCGTTATAGTTTTTCGACCGGCTTTCGGATCCACGAATGCTTTCAACTTTCATACCTTCTCTAAGCTAAGAAATATATTTCTATCAGGATAGCCTTATCTAAAATCAAAATAAGAGTTTGAATCAACTTCCTATTATTATTATTGTTAGGAGTTCATCGGCACAGTTGTTAACGCGTTCAGTCGGGTTCGCAAATAATTAGGGTTCGAGTCGATCAGAAAGAAATCCGTGAGATAAGTAAATGAAAATCAATAACTATTTTATTTAAAACTGTATTTCTTTATGCGGCGAGCAGTTTGTAGTTTTTAATTACAAACAAAATCATATTTATTCCAGATTTCACATGTGTTTCATTCAGTCAAGATGCTGACTTTCTGACTAGAATTCTTTTATTACTCTAAAAACGATTGCGGTGTTTGACATAGGCATTGATAGAATAAATGTAACCAGCATTTTTCTTGCCAGATTCTTATTTAGATTTTTCAAAAACGTGAAACACAATTTCACGATCTTCTCGCAATAATAATTAGTCGTCAATTATTCGTATATTCAGAGAGTCACACGTTATTTTCATTTATACCAATTGATTTATTAATCTTCAAATTCTTACCACATATTCAAATCATTCAAACATCAGTCGCCAGTACGGGTCTGACATTACGGTTGTAACCAAACAACGGAAAAGCTATCCAGACCAATAATGATATTGAAAAGTTCATTTTCTACATTCGACAGGTCATTAATCTAACCTAGGACCTCTAAGAGAACGCCAACGTGGAACCGGCGTGGCTACCTACCTTTTAGGATATTATAGCTGCCGCAACTTCGTCTGCATGAATTTATAGCCTATGTCAGTTCTTGGAGGTAAAAGAGTTTTCACAATTGGATCAGTATTTCTCAAGATTACCCCCTTATAAACAAAGGTTAGAAACTTTACCTCTTTATATATGAGTTTAGATTAATTCTCCACTACTTCATCTCTAGATCAGTAGGTACCATATTAATATCTGAGGAGCGACTACTTTGAAAACTCTAGCAATAGCTTTTAAAGCGTTATATTGATATGACAAAGAATACCTTTATAGTCTTATATAATATGCTTGTTTTATTATTTACATATTGTATTAATGATTTTGTTTGTTTTAGTTTTCTGAAAAAATACTAAAATGATCCTAAAAAATGTGGAAAAAACGAAATTTTAAAAATTTAAGTGACTTTTATATTTGTTTAATAATTGTAAAACTATATCGTTACAAAGAAATATTAACATATTCATTGATTAAGTTGATAAGAGGTTTTTGTAGCTTTGGCTAGAGCTGTGACTATACAACTAGAGTTGCACTCCAGTAACTTATCTAATTAATTCTTAGACTCGAGAAAGTTCAGTGTAAGAAAATACTGAAGGGAATAAATAAACGAAAATAAATACACCCAAAATTCGTGTAAAATTATTTATATTGAATTGTAATAAATTGTCACAACAAGGAATTGCCACGATCCTACCTTACATAGTTGCCGTCTGATCCTTAAAGCCTAAACATTTACGAACTTAACTAACTTAAGCAACTTAACTTTACATCACATTTAGAACGAGATATTTTTATTTATATATAAGTAACAATGGCCGAAGATATTCGTTACTCCGTACCACCGCCTTACAACTAAGTAGATAATAAAATTTCAGTATCAAGGAATTCAATATGTTATTTATTATTATTAAAAATTGTGAATATTCTAGTGATTTTACTGATAAAATCAAATATTTAATTACAGCACCTTTATCGGTTTGCCAAATTTATAGGTAGTAGCAGGAAAAGTGCTATTCTGTCAAAAACAAAACAGTCTTGAACTCGTTTCAAATGTCATAGCATTGAGTTCGATCAAATAAAACCTACTTTAAAAGGTAATAAATAGTTTATTTCATTGAAACTCTATGACGTGCAAGCGCTCGACTACTAGTTCTTGGCTGTTTCTAACAGAACAACATGGTTGTAGTTCGAGCTCTATTTACACTTTAATAAGTTACAGCGGTTCACTTACCTCAGTGGCGAGTTGAGTTCTTATTGTTTACGTTACGTTTAAAATTGAAAAGAAATTAACTCGCTACAGAGACAATAAACAACAAAATTAGGTTCGTGCGAATTCGTATTTGGCGCGTATGTCTCAACTTTGAATTTTATTGAAAGCGCCTTCTATCTTTGTAAAGGGAACATTGGCATTTGTGCTCGATAAATTTGACTGATGTAGAATGCAAAAAGTGACATCAGTACTGCTACACAAGCTTCTTCAAGAACATGGTAAAATTTCACATATTATCCAATGATGGTAACCAAATTATGCAATTTTTATTAATGGCAAAAGCACGTACAGTTTCATATAAAACTTACTCGAACGAAAACGAATGAAGTACATCGTATTAACAGAGATCGAAATTAGACAAGGTTTTTTGTAAAATTCACTAGAATATCGGATGTGTGTACTAAAATTTAATAAAATAATTGAGAAGGCATTAATTTTATGTAAAATAGTTTCCACGCGAATTTATTTCTCTTAAAATTATTAGATAATTAATATTAACTAATTAACAAACTAAACATTTATTGACGTCAAAGCAGAGAAAAACTTGGTGATAAACAACTAAATGTTGGTTTTTAAGTAGGTACCTACATTTTTTATTATATACCTATTACCTATAAGCAAATTGAGTTGATACCATTTTAAAAGCCTGTTCTATTATTTTTGTTACTTAGTACATAAAGTATTTATTTCATTGTAGGCAATAACAGAGATCTGTGTGGTAAGTATAATTTATTAGTATTAAATTCTAAAGTTCATTTGAAACTAATTTCCAGTGTTAGTTACGGTTTTCTGAACTATGAAAACTTATTTTTTAATAAATAAATAAGGAACTAGTTTTCTATAAAAAGTAAAAATTACTTTTAAGAATCAGGTCGAAAAATTTCAACAGAATATGATCTTCAATGAATGTGAAGACAACTCTATTACAAAAAGGCTGACAAAGACGCCAAAGTAATAAAGGTATACACATAGAAAAACATTGACATAATATCGTATTAAGTTATAAGTTAACCCTTTATAATAAGATTTTGCTGACATATGAAAAACAGAGCCCATAGAAAATATAAAAAAGCAACCTAAACGCATTATAAGAAAATAATCAAACTAGAGATAATATTATCTATTCACGTGAAAACACTTTACGAAGCAGACGATATAATAATGTATATAATTATCTAACAGCTATGTTACAATCAGTCATACCGTAGTACATAAAAAATTTGTATGTGTTCAAAAAATTCGCCAGTACAATATATTGGTACTTGATAACTTTTGTAAAATTGGCATAGAATAAATTGAACCGAATGATGAAACGGAGTAACGGTCGGAGTGTAGGTGACTTTATCTCTTATTCTTGTTCTTCATGGTGAGACGCCGCCAGAAGCTTGTCTTTTCAGCGGGTGGCTGTTCCTCCCTGGTCTCCTCCGTTCTCGTTTCGCCCCGCAACATATCCAAGAACGTGGGGTCGTTCTTCCGCACGTTCTTCTCAATCTTCACTGCCTCAGCGCTTAGCTCTGCCTTCAATTTCTCAGGGCTCGTATTCTCGACCTTAAACTCGTTAGGGTCTTCAACGAACGCCTGCTGGAGGTCTCGCATGATCTTCTTTCGTATCGTCTTCTTCATGCTGAGGTGTCTTTCTAGGGTTTTCACGTCGCCGTTACCGTAAGCGCGGTAGTCCTCTTTCTTTTTCTTGTTTTTCTTGCCTTTGTCATCGTTGTCGTCGAAGCTCTTCGTGTCGTATTGCTGGTTGAGACCGAAGATGTCTCGGAGATGGGGGATGGCTCGTTCCGACGTCATTGTGGAGTTTTAGGCGCAATTCACGCCCGACGGTTATCACAGACACCTCATCGTGAATCCTGGAAAGAGACAAACAAGAGACGTTAGTGAATGTTTTAATTATATTTGATTTAGTATACACAATTAATAAATCTTAGAAATGATTTTCAGATATCATAAAAAACTTGTTTATTAAGATGACGAGGGCTTTTAGCTTAGGTTGTCCGGATTGCGTAAGGACTTGGGTTCGAGTCCCATCCTGAGGTAACTGAGGCTGGTGGATTTTGTAAACATTTTTCATTAAAAATATTACTATAAACCATTGTGAATACAATAGTGATCAAATATAATACATAAAATCCCAGCCCGAAATCAATGTTTCTTAAAAAAATTAACCGCTTAGTACCATTTTTCGCTTTCAAGTCGGTTCCACTTTAAAAAACAATCATGCATATTTCCGACACTAGATCATTTAGGAAGATTGAGGTTAGTTCATGTCAAAATTGATTTTGGGTTTCCGTATTTTGCTGCTGTTTATATGCCCGCCGCACGTGTAATTAATTAGCTCTAGAAAATTGAGTGATTATTTCCAGTATACAATACGTATATTCGGTCTGCATTATTTTATAGGTGGCGCTTTTCAGTGACTTCATGACATCCGCGTATTGTGTAGTAGATGAGAGAATTTTTTAAGTCAGTCTAGTGGTCTCGAAGTCTATCTGTGCAAACAAACAAACAACGTCATCTTTCATTTTAACTTTCATTTCAATTCATTCAAACTAGATAATTATATCATTAAACATTTGTGACTATTTCAGATATTTCAATAAAAAGTTTAAGTAAGTTAAGTTTTATTAAGTAATTCTAAACGAAAACTATGTTGAAAGTTTAAACCTCAAAATCACTAATCAATCTTTTTTGGCGTAAAAATATTTAGTGCTTATGACTAATAATATAAAATAAGTGAGAGTTGCATATTTTTAGCAATACAAATATATATTTTAAATTTCAAATTCCCGGTGCATTTTTCCAATTGTTTTATTTTTGCAAAAGTCAACAGATAAGCGTTGCAGATAAGATCTTATTTGAATGTAATATTTCTGAATAAATCTCGAATGTCTTTAGCATTAATAAACTGAAGTCAAAGAACTTTCCTGTGATAGTTCACGAAGATCATTATGCAGCTCTCACCATTACGATAAACCTAATAAGGGTGAGAACAGCATCTGAATAAGTATGACGGCACAATGGTGCGGCGGCATCACGGCACGTTGCTAGAACAAGCAAAATCTCGACCGTGACCGAAGCAGCCGGGCGCCGGGAATAATAACTCGCTGTGCCCGACTTAGACCAACTAACGAGAATGGTTGCAAGTTTCTTAATTTATGCTCTCGAAAATTTATTTCGTTTATTCTATTTTTAAATCTCGCGCCTATTTTATTTTGTGTTGGTTTGACAGATATTGTTCTTTTTCAGTGATTTAAATGAAAGCACTTACAGTGTAGAACTATTATGCTTGCGATAGCGAAAATTAAGCAAACTTTAGCCTAGAACGGTTATCGGATGGGCGACGAAATATCTGGAATTGCTCCGTGTTTTGTAGTAGTCTCATTTTTGGTGAATGACACGAATTCGCCCTGTAATTCTATCATAGGAAAAAAATGTGCTCGAGCAGCGGGAACATTGGAATTAGTTTTTTTCACAAAGTTTTCTGGGCCAACTCGATCTTTTCCGTTACATGCTTCACGAATGAAACAAAGATTTAATGGAATCAAAGTTGAATCGGCGTAGTTACTTCGATGAGCGAATGAAATGGATCTATCTATATTTTTAATACCAATTCGTATAACAATAGGAGCCAATTCTTTTACTTTTTATCATTGTTAGTATTTTATTATACCAAGGAGGCGAGGGGCTCACTTATTGCCATGCCCTTGCAGAGCGTCACGTACACCCACATGGACAACTCAATTTTAGCTTATTGTTTAAAATATGGCACGCAATAAATATTTTGATTTCGAAAAGTAACATAAAAAAAATTAGGTCGATTTCATATTACATGTTCAGACTTTTCACCGAGTACAACAAAGATTCAGATCACAATCACTTAGTTATGCTCAAAGGGATATTGATATGGAATGGAAAGTTTAATTACACAATGTAGGGATTAGGGATATATTGATCCCTATCGCTGAGAATTTGCGGAAGACAGCTTTGTGGAAAATAATGAAGTTATGCTTTGCTTAGGTACTGGCATTACAAATTAACTTAAATCGTGTAAGGGAAGGACAGGATTGACACAGCCGCTGCAACAATCATCTGTAAAAGATGGAGTGGCCAATGATGATAAGGGAAGGAGCTGGGTGGAGCAGCGGTTAGTGCTTTTCCTCTGCGATGCGGAAGTTAGCAACTTTTGCAAAGGTTGGTCAAAAGATAGGTGACCAAAAACTTATTATTTCGAACTACTCTGTGCTTTGGAAGGCATATTAAGCCGCTGGTGCCAGCTGCATCTACAGTTATACTGTTTTCTCAACTGTTAATAGAAATTTTCAGTGAGAATAAAATTAAAATTATTATAGTATTAAATTCAATTTAGTTCTCATTAATGCTTAAATTTAGATTTTTGTATTGAAGTTAGTTTTTGTAAAGAACAGATTTGTTAGAAATTACATTTTTACTCAGATTTTACTTTTTTGATCATAGAATTAAAATTATAGACAGAATAATTTTAATTCTATGATCAAACGCAAGTATTTTACAGTGGTCTCTGACAGTTTCAGAACTGTAAGTTAAAGAAAATACTGTTAATAAAAACATTTATTTTTTTATTTTTTATATAAATGATGATTTTATATTAATGACAAAAATAGTTTATATTTATTAAGACTAGGTACTGTGAACATGTTTTTGAAACGTACTAATCGACCGATCAGGTCGGTTAGTTTTCAATATAAATAAAAAAAGAAATATCTGTTAATCTTTTGAATGACAATAATTTTTATCCTATTGCTTATGAATTGTTCAATTGTAATGTAATAAATATCATCCATAGGGGTCAATTCATGTGCTATTATTATTGTCGTACATCTTCTGACTGCTAATATTTTGTCTATTAAAGTTAGTTATTGGGGGAGAATAGATATGATAGCGTACATAATAAGTCCAATAATAAACTGATGCTGTCTTATTATAAAATGATGACTAACTTTAGTACCAGGTTAAAACCATTATCCGAGCAAAATAAGTCAACACGTCACAATGAGACATTTCTGTTTTGCCATTGTTAATTTGCCAAGGTTTGCACCGAGTACTAAATATAGCCTTTGATGTTTAAATTAAACGAATAATTTACATTACCCCATGTGATTTGTAATCTACTGAAAATAGTTTTTATTTCTTCATTACTTCGCTCACTGTGATAGCATGTGTCTCATTGGCTGGTATGTTATTCCTCTCGTCTTATTTTCTCTGTCTTATATGCAGCCTGTAAGGTTTTAAGTGTAGTAATATTTATTTGTGATTTAATATATACCTATCATCAATGATGGCGCACTGGTCTGAATCTGTAGCACTAATTAGTGTCAGATTTAAAAGCTCGTTGTTTATATGAATAGCAACATATGCCCTTTTTCACTTGACTCTTATTTGTGGCAGTAATGATTTACGCATTTTATATTTTTCTTTAGCATATAAGTCTTTTATAATATATTCAAGTCAGTATGGAAGATCTACATAAGGTATACATCTAAGGTATCTACATAACTTGGGATTAAAAATGAACATCATCAATCTAATAAACTTTTAACAAATAGAGAAAACAAAACAAGGCTTAGTCAGAGCCAGAACAAGTATCAGCTTTTATACAACAGTCACAAAGTACAAGATCGTAAATCATACGTCAATACATTACCGGCTAACAGCTGACATTAACATTGACGAGGTCAGTGCACTTTACCTAACTCTAGCCACGGCACACATGATTGGGTGGCGGCCATGTTATGACGTCATCGCGGCAGTTACGTTATAATTCCGGTTTTTGAGTTTCCATTGCAAGTATCCTTGTTATTTTTCTGATCGCTGAGCTTTAACAGATGATCAGACAGACAACAGTATAAGTATTTAACGGTATAGATAATTATTAGAATTAAAATAGAAGCGTTCTTTAAGAACGCAAATGTAGCGCCATATTATAGCACGATAAAGGAACAAAATAAGGAAATAAGTACTTGTCATTATATTATTATTATAAATGCATTTCACAGATTTTCATAAATTGATTTTTGCATTTTAATTAAAATTAAATGGATGACCAGTGGCGTGTAAAGTGATCGGAAAACAATATTAAAATTGCTTTTAGATGGACTCTTGACGTTCGAGGCAGACTCTTACTTGACTAACTTCTTTACCATAATTCATCATCAGCCCTTTTTCGTCCCCACAGCAGGGACTCAGGCATTCCTTATGAATGGTTAAGGAGGATGTGCCATGACCCTCTCCGCCGCCGGCCAAATGCGGATTGGAGATTATTATACCATAATGATTAGTTTGAAACCACTGTTCTTTGATTATCGTACACAAACAAAACATTAAAATGTAGGTACACACGGCCGCGTGTCACGCTACACACCACCACCGTAAGCAAACCTTTGTTAGTAGGGAAGTTCTATACGAAGCGCGACCGGTACAAAGTCCACAATGTATAGTCTGACGGTCGGTCGTATGTACAATTACCATATTTATATCAATATAATTTTTGCAATTTTCTGAATTTATGGAGGGTCAAAAGCCCGGAGCGCGTACAGTGTGCAAATAAATTGGATTTTAATTGATTTCGTTCAACAGCTTTAGTTGATCTGAATTTATTGCAGTACCTTTATACACATTCCAATTTAAATATACCACTTTTTGCGAATGGAAAAATAATTAAATTGACCGATAATTTTTCCCCTTGGTCTTTTTTTAATATTATAAATATGTACTCAAAAGATGGTTTTTGATTATAACAATGACGAAAAACGTAC